GCAACGACGGAGAAGGAAGATCGATTCACCTTCCAAAAAAGGAAATTACTCTAATCCAAATAAATCAGATATTAGTCGGGTCGGGTATATTAGAATATGTGCACATATTGTTTGTTTTGGTGTTTTTATTTTGGGCCAAGGGCCTTGTGTAGACTTTGGTTACAGAAAATTCAATAAAAGGCCCAACAGACCACTAAAATATTCTTAAAAAAAAAAAAAAAAAAAAAAGGAGGGATAAAAACGACACAGTGTATTTGAGATGTGGGCCTAGAGTACTTTTAAAGCATAAAACGTTACTCAGAGTAACCTATTAGGCTAAAAACGTGATTATGAGTAACGTTTCTATACTTAACGCCGTCAACTATAGTATTCCACATAGTTGGTCCTAAAACGTTATTGAGAAATACGTTTATACTATTTTTGTAAAAAATTTAAAAAACGTATTATTTTGGTAAATTGCTTTAAATAATGGATTAGTTTGGTCAAAAATTCTGAGGAACGGATATTAATTGTATTTAACTTTATTAGTTGATCAACCTCTTCATTGATTAATACATCTCCATACTAAAACTGTTTGTCGCAGTCTTATAAACAAGTCATACCAACTGGTATTTTGCTTGACTAGTTTCAATTAAAAGGAAAATTTCAACTCCACTAACTTTTTGTATGGTTAGTGGATTTATTAACTTTTACCCACATTAATTGGAAATTATTCTAAAATAAGGGAAGCTTGTATAACTTAAACATTTTTTTGATCAGTTTAATTATGTATAAACTATAGTACCATTTGTTACAGTAGTTGTATTTTTAAGTTGAAATTGAAAAGAAGTATTTACATTTTTTTAAATTTGGATATAGGTACTTCACTGATCGAAAATATAAAGTAGTATATATGAAAGTTTGAAATCGTCTATGAGCGAATATATATACTCTTAATGAAATTAGTATCACAATGTTTCTAAGTACCTCAAAAATTAAATCTAACACTTGCAAATACGGATGGCTAAATATACTCTAGAATCCTAGTTTTTTTTTTTTTTTTAAAGAGTGGAAATTCATGAGATTTGATTAAAATCCATATCTTTATCATCATTAATTAGTAGAAATTGAGGTATGTCTTTTTTAACTATTTTTAACTTTAAAGAAGATTTGAACTAGGATTTTATACGTGTATGGGACAATCTCACATTAAGCCTTTGTAATTTCATAACGCGTTTTAACGATGAACTTTATCATTGTATTTGAACTAGACTTTAATTTTAAACACGGTTTTCTAAATCAATTGATGACATTGAAACCCTATTATGGGCAGGGGCAGACCCACATGTACAGGTGGGGGTGCACGTGCACCCGTTAATGAACATTGAACTGTCCTTAGTCTGCTGGTAGAAGTGAGGAATTACGTCCTTGCAGACCCAGGTTCGATCCTGGTCAACAATTCTTTTTATTACAAAGTCAAGCGTCCATTAAGCATTGAAAATTGGGCAAATCACATAAATCCCACTAGTTTAGGTCTTAATTATTAAGATTCCCAATAGTTTCAAATATTACTTCCTCTACCATATTTTATGATTAGGATACATGAGTCTGAATCCATGATATACATGTATCTGTCGAATTTTAAAATTGAGATACAAAATTTATTTATTTAAATTAATTGGTTGTAACTTATTTCCTTAATTAGAGGAGTAATTGAGGAATTTCAAAATACATAGATAATTAATTTCATTTTATTATACTTTGAAATAGTAAATTCATTAATATTATTAATATAAGATAAAAACATGTATATCTTGGTAATGTAATTTGATTATTTTCAAATTATTACTCTTAAAATAATAAATTCATTAATTTGATGTATCTATTATCAATATATGATGAATCCAACAAACTAAACATTTAGATACATGAGTGTCATACAAGTACATTCATATGTATCATAGAAGTATCTAGCATTAATTTCATGTATTTGTTATACGTATCTAGTATTAATTTTATGTATATATATTAGTTTCATGTATCTTTTATATGTATCTAGTATGAATTTGATGTATCAAGTATCAATTGCATATGTTATATCCAAAAACATGTATCTCGAATACACAATAAACATATACATCTAATTATGTGTATCTAAATATGGAATATACAAAAAGAAGAAGCATATACATCTAATTATGTGTATCTAAATTTCATACGTTATATCCAAAAACATGTATCTCGAATACATAATAAGCATATACATTTAATTATGTGTATCTAAATATGAAATGTAGTTGAAACACATGAATCTATCAACAAATCACAACTGTAGAGTATTTGTCGTATCATTAATATCATTGTGTTGTTAAAAATCATGTATCCGAAATTTAATATATAGTGGATACATATACATGTTCAGATACCCCATTACTAAAAATACAACTCGAATCTTAATTAAGATTATTACTTATTGGATACACATGTTTCAAGGGCTATATCAAAGTAATATTGGTACTACCACATCCATATCACAGTAACCAAAGAAAGTCTTAGAAGAACACCAGCAAACAAAAACTCTCAACAATATTCCCTTTGATCCTTTTGCACTGTGGCATAACATAATCAAAACTAAGATCCATTTCTTTCGGAGACAAACAATCAAGACCTACTATGAATTGAAAGTTTTCTCTGTAGCAGTTACTGTGATTGAAACTCGTGATAAATGAACAATACAAAATGATATTTTGGTTCAGGAGAATTTGTGGTGATGATATCTTGAGAAGAAGAGAGTAGATTAACTATTGTTGAAATGAAATTGTAAGGTGAAATTCTTGAATCAGAAAGGAGGAGACATAACTGAGTGATAAACATGGGAGGGGAGAATTAAGAGATAGTGGTTGATTTGGAGTGAAAGAGTTATTTAAGCAGATAATTAATCAATAACAGTTTTAAGGGATGTGGGTATCTAATAGTATTTTCAAATAATATATTAATATATGGTATAAAATACTAAAAGTGGTAATATATGTAATTGTTTAAAAGTAAAGATAATATTAGTATATATAGTAGTGATGTATGTCTAATAAGGTAGTTTATCCTTGAAAAATTTACTTCGCTTATGCTTAAATATTATTGGTGCACCCAGACTCTTCAAATCCTGGGTTCGTTCTGAATTTATTTACGGGAATATGATTTGAACAATAACGGGTTGGATATTATGCGATAATTTTTCTTTTTGTGTGTTGTGCCTTGTTATTCAACAAAGCCTTGTTTGGGCTTGAATTAATGGGTTGGGCCTACAGATATGCCCAAATCCATTGAACACTTTGGGCTTTACCAGCCCAAAATCAGTGTTGGATTCGAAACACAAAGTACTCCATATTATTGCTATAGATGGTAAATTTATTTTTAATATAGTATATCTATGTAAGTTTCACAATTAATATTGCATGAACAAGGGATATTGTTTGGGTTTAATTCATAATGGCCAGGGGCGGACCTACATGTAAAGGTAGGGATGCACGTGCACACTTTAACTTCGAAAAAATCATGTATATATATATATATATATATATATATATATATCTTAAGAAACTGATATAAAAAGGAATATTAGAAAAGAGCACCCTTAATGAACATTGAACTTCCCTTAATCTGCTGGTAGAAGTGAGGAAATATGTCTTTGCAGACCCAGGTTCGATCCTGGTCAACAACTCTTTTTTTAAACTCTTTTTATTACAAAGTCAAGCGTCCATTAAGCATTGAAAATTTTGCTTCGCTTATGCTTAAATATTATTGGTGCACTCATACTCTTCAAATCCTGAGTTCGCCTCTGATATTAGCTTAACTTTAGTTCATGGTATGTAATTCCTTTTTTTTCTTTGTTGGAATTTTTCCTTTCTGGTTTTAGTTGGGTTTCTTTTTTATTCGGGCACAGTTTATAGTGATTAATCAGGAGTGCCTTATTTATGGTATTCCCTCTATTTCAATTTATCCGGCACATGACACACTATTATTTCTATATTCCATTTAAAAAAGAATGTCCCATTTTTATAAATAAAAATTTAACTTAAAATTTCCTTTTTATCCTTAATGATGTGATTTATGCCTACACAAATGATCGAGGAGTAATAAACTATAAATTTTCAAACTCTTCATTTCTTAAATTTTATATTAAATTAAATGATGTAACATAAATTGAGACGAATAAAATATATATATGGGTTCAATTTTTTTAATTGGTGATGGCAGAGATCACATCTCCTTACTAAAACTATTTGCAGTCTTACCAACAAGTCATACCAACTTATATTTACTATGACTAGCTTCAATAAAAAGAAATTTCAACTCCACTTATAACTTTTGGTGACGTGGCAGAGGGTTTATTAAATTTTACGCACATAATTTGGAAATTATGCTAAAGGGTAGCTTGTGGAACTTAAACATTTTCTTGATCAGTTTAATTAAGTATAAACTATATTAGTTTTTCTAATTATTGATAAAATTTCTCATCTCAATAATAGATATGCAATTAGTTTGAACAGAAAGTGAACAGGGATGTGAGAGTTCCGTCCTTCACTGGTGAAGGATTAAATCCCATTCACCCCTCCCTAAAAAAAAATAAGAAAAGTAAAAGGAAGTGAACTCGTGAATTTTTCTTCAACTAAGGCTACTACTTAAAAATAATTTTTATTTCCCCTAAATCTTGATAAAACAATCTATCACTGTGGATCAACAAAATTATAGAACGTGAGAATACATAGGTTTAAAGAGAGTGTGTTAGTTGTGTAATAGATATTTTTATGGAATATTTACTGATGAAGGCAAAAAATATTTGATAATCCTGCAAATGAAATTTTATATAATTAGGGCAAACTCATTTAATAGCTTAGCCCATTGTCCCAACTAAAATTTCATAAATGTTCTTTTTGCATGCATGGTCCTATAAATTTGGTCTCTTTTAACGTTATTTTACGTACTCAACATAGAGATTTGAAAGAATTATAACAAGAAGTATTATGGCTATCATATCAGGGAAGTGTCTATTTGTAGTTTCAGTTTTAGTAGTTAGCTCATTCTTAGAGCTCACTAATGGAGATCAACTCACTGATGAATATTCATCTCATGATCCAACTCTTCATGAATCTTTAAGATTTGGGATTCCAAGAATTAAATCTAGAACTAGATCTAGATCTAAGCCACATAGTCCACACCGACATCGACCTCGTCATCCCCCTAGTCCTCTGCCTAAGAGGCCACCACCTTCTCCGCCAGCTGAGGAGCCACCAGTTCAGCCTCGACATCGTCCCCCTAGTCCTCGGACTAAGAGGCCACCACTTTCTTCGCCAGCTCAGGAGCCACCAGTTCAGCCTCGATATCGTCCCCCTAGTCCTCGGATTAAGAGGCAACCACCTTCTTCGCCAGCTGAGGAGCCACCAGTGCTTCCGCCACCAGTTGAGGAGCCACCAGTACTTCCGCCGTTAGGTGAGGATCCACCAGTTATTCCGTCACCAGTTGAGGAGCCACCAGCGCTTCCGCCACTAGGTGAGGAGCCACCAGTACTTCCGCCACCAGTGCTTCCGCCACTAGGAGAGGAGCCACCAGTGCTTCCGCCACTAGGTGAGGAGCCACCACTGATTCCGCCACCAGGTGAGGAGCAACCAGTGCTTGCACCACCAGGTGAGGAGCAACCAGTACTTCCTCCACCATGTCGCTGCGAATACAGTGACGACTACGCGCCGTCTCCATCACCATCACCATCACCAGGTGTGTGATGATCAGCCATGAGATATGCTGATACCAGAAATTTAGTACTAATATGTTGAGAAATGAATATAAAGTTAAGTATCGCGTACTAATACAATAAATATAATGGTTCTAATCTTCACAATTGGAGACTCTATTGTTAAAGCAGTATGTGTCTGATCTGCAAGTTGAGCAAAGATTATCCTTTTCTTAACAATTAGGATAAAAGAACAGTAGATTTAATTATAGCTAGGGACAGAGTAATAGAATTTTTTTGTCGTATCCTAAAACTAGCAACCTGATTTATGTCCTCTAGCTTGCTCAGGGAGGTTGATAGGTTGTGATACCATTTGGTTCTGTTCATCATGGAGCCAGTCTTTGCGACTTCATTTGCCTCCCAAAAATAAAAAAAATGTATGAGTTAAAAATTTGAAAAAAGATATATGGACTGAGTCATGACAATGGGGGTTGTTTTGGGTTGACACAATTTTTTAAAAATTTAATGTGGGGCGGAGCGTTTGAAATTCGGATGAGTCCAATTGTCTAAAATGAAACACATTTCGTTTGAAGTAAACCAAATCAGAGTTTTTTCGTTGTAAATACTGTTGTTAAAATGATAGTACTACGATCTTTCGCAAATTAAGGCAATCAAATGGCTTCATGAAAAATGGTATTTATATAGTAATAATTCAATTCAATTCAATTCTTACCTAAGCTAATAGATCATCCTATCAATCGTCTCTTTTAACTCAGATTAATTAGGTAATAAGAGCCTCATAATCTCAATGTCCAAGTCAAACAATTAATTCATCTTCTTACTGAATTCAATGAAACTAAAAACTAACACTAATCGCCCAAATGCCCCTATTTTTGGACGACGACATTTAATTTTTGACTCTTAAGTTTTGAATTTTCCTTCAACACTTTAAATAATAAATAATTGGTTGAAAATATATACATAAATTTCTATTTTCATATAATAGTATCTCATAGATTACATAATATTAATAAAATGTATGACAAGTTAAGTCTCGTACAAACTAAAAAATAACTTTTTGGTGCAAAAGATGATTTGCGCCTTGGCATTTTACCCCTTAAACTTTCAAAATTTTCAGCTGGTTTTAATCAATTAAACTTTTACAAATTCTTCTTGTATTTTCTTAAATATAAATTCCATAAATTCATAAAAATATCTCAACAAATATTGACTTCACTAATAACATTTGTGTGTTTTATCACCGGTTGAAAATCTTCTCATTTACCTGAGAACACTTACTTAATGGAGTAACATAACAAATAAAAGTGGACGGAATGAGTATATGATAATACACGCAAAGTCACTAAACGACAAACTGGACTCTGGAGAGGATCATTACACAAGAGAATTTTACATCATAGAGTCAAAGAATAGACATTTATCATGCCGGAGATGTGTACATTGTATTACAACTACATTTAATGAAAATACGAGGTACGATGATCAAGAGTAATATGTCAAAGCACTATATACACTTCCTAGTGAATAACATATCAAAAATATCCAAATGCATATATCAGATACCTTTTAAATACTGATTTCATGCTTCTGCTTATCAAAGCATCGCACCTTTGATTTGCCAAACTAATGGGGCTTCTTCGATCGATCTCATTTAGGGCGTTTACAAGTTTCATATATGTGACGAAGGTTAATAGTTAAATCACAATCTTTTATATTAATAATAATTAGGTTAAGAAAATTATTACATGAAAATTAAAGTAAGAGAAGTAATTATAATATAGACCACAAATGAAATAAAAATTTAAGGGCAACTTTATATAATTATCCTTGGGATAAAACACAAGTATCCCCTAGACTATGACCAAAATCTCAGAGACACACCTTAACTAAACTAAGGTCATATTACCCCGGCCCTCCCCCCCAACTAATTTTTTTGGTAATTTTGTACACCTTTTTGACCTATGTGGCTTTCAAACATCTCCCACGCGCCTCACCTAAGTGGAGTCACTGTTGGATTTTAAAGGTGTGAACAGGAAATGAAGGGTTGTGACTCTCCTGAAGAGTTGTGACTATGCCGAAGGGTTGTGAACTTTATGAAAGGTTGTGTCCTTTCTAAAGGATTGTGACCGTTTGAAAGGTTATGCCTTTTCCAAAGTGTTGTGACCTTTCTGAAAGGTTGTCTTCTTTCCCAAGGGTTGTGACCTTTACCCTTTGTTGGCTATAAATAGAGAGGTTTCCTCTCATTTTTCTGTATCGAATTCTTCCCTTCTTTTGCATACATTTCTTACAAAAGCAAATCGATCGATCGTGTCTCTGTGTGTGATTCGTTGCTGTCATTTTGAGTTCGTTGAAATTATCGAAGTTTGAGGTACCGCTACTTCTTTAATGGTTAATCCGTTTTATCTTGGGAGGAATTAATTTGCAACCTCGGGTACTTGAGGGGATTGAATTTCTTAAGGACATACAGTGGGTTCTGTGGACTCGGATAGTTCTTTGTTTTTTTCTTTTCATCTTTTATTATTTCTGGTTTGCTAATCTGAATACAGGAGATAACAAGCTTAAGAAAATTATAGATGGTATTTTTTGTGGTAAGGAAATTACTTCTATTTTCTGTGTTCTTTTTATTGGGGAAAGAACAAGATGAAAAAAAGAATTATTTTATCATATGATAAAAGAGATTTGGGATGAATTAGTACTACTTTAGTATGTTCGAGTATATTTTTTGTAGTAAGTTTTCCTTGGATGGGTAAGATTATTATTATTTTCTTCCCAAGTGCATTCAAGCATTGCCCCCTTCAGTTTTCTTTTCAATGAGAAAAGTTATTTTGTGCATAAAGGCTAAGATGTGCACTTTAATTGTTTTTCCTATATTCTTGGTTTTATATAACTATAAGAAGAAGTAAATGAACATATGTTGTCTTCTAACAATATTTGAACATGAGTTTAGTTTCTCGTTGAAATTCAATGTCTTCTGAGAAAAACTGGAATATGACAGAAACTGGAAAAGAAGGAAAAAATTAGCAAGAAAAGTGACTTGCATGGAATCATTGCTGACAAATAGAATGTGATTCAATGGGGGTAATAATCAGGTTTTATCTTTATTTCTCTTGATTATTATTTTTATCTATCCTTTATAAGTTATGAGATTTATTTCATAAATGTTAGGATAGATAATCATTATGTGATGATCTTAGAATATATCTTTATTAATATTAGTATGTATTCTGTTTAGAGGAGAAAAAAAAAGAAAAACTTTTGTAGTTTTCTACTCCATGTGAAATTTGATTGTGTTTGACTTTTGGAGACTAAAATCTTCTGGATTTTTTTTAGTCCTTTGGTTTGAAGAATATAAGAACTTCACTAACAAATCAGATTGTAAATTGGTTTGAAGAATATAGAAACTTCACCAATTTGTTAAGTACTCTGTTTGAATGAATATTCTGACTTGAAGAGTACAAAATCTTCGTCAGGAATATTAAGGCTAAATGATTTGAAAAAGATAAAATCTTCATCGTTAGCTAGAAACATTGTTGTATTTGAGGTTTCTGGAGATTAAAACCTTTTTGGTTTACTACTCTGTCTGAATGTGAAACTGATGCGAAGAATATAAAAACTTCATCAGAATTTAAGTTTCATTCGGTTAACGATTAGAAGAATATAAAACTTCATCGTTAAACTAGAAACAAGTTGTATAAAGATTGAATCTTTATTGTTAGTATTCTAAATACTAAGTGGTTTGTCTAGTTGTGATAGAAAGGGAAAAAAACACTAGTGACATAAAATTAGTGATTTTTGTGCCTGCAATGGGTGTTAATATTGATTAAATCTCCAAAAGAAGGCTTCGTGTTTGCCAATATGTATTTTGATGGTATACAATATGAAAATATGGGAAAAAATATGTGGAAAATAATTTCAAATATTTGAAAAATATTTTTGAGAACATATTTAAAATGTGGGGGTTCTTTACTTATGATAAAGACAAAATTAGACTTACTATCTAATTTAAATTTAAAAGTACAAGATATGAAATTTAATGACATTCTTGTATTATGTTAGACCCACAAAATTCTTAGAGTATATTTGATATTGTGGTCGTTTAGTCTTTCTTTACTAGTATATGATATGACTAGTATAAAACCACAACATTATGTTACTCGTTCAAAAGAGTTGTATTCTTTGATGAAAAAGTGTCATTTAAAATATTGTGATTTTTCATAAAAAGATATGTCTATTTGTATAGACATGAACACTGGTGAAAAGTGATATGTTATGTTTGTGTTGTAAAACAAATATTTGGGTCATATTGCCCTTATTGGACCGAAGGGACTATGGTCATGGGTAATTCTATAACAAATTGAATGTTATGGAAAGGTCCTTCTGAAAAGGACATATGGCAAGGTGTTGACTCTAAAACAATATTGAGAAAGTTATAAAAAAAGTAAAGAACAAAATATTTGTGGGAAAAAGGTTACCTCACAGAAAGTCTTTTCAAACTTAGCATTTTTGTTTGTTCTTACTTGCTTGAATCAAATTGTTTGTGACATAAATGCTTAGGACATTACAATTACAAAACCTTGCAAAAACTGATCAACTTAGAAGTTTTGCCTAACTTCTAGTGCAATAAATCAAAATGTCAAGTATGTGTTGTTGAAAGGAATTTAATACCTTAGAATTGATTTACACTGACATTTGTGATATGAAGTCAACACCATCTCGTGGTGGGAAAAAGTGTTTCATAAATTTTATTGACAATTGCACTAGATATTGTTATGTTTATTTGCTGAATGGTAAGGATGAAGCAATAGAAACATATTGACAATATAAAACTGAAGTTGAAAATTAGTTGGATAAAAAGATTTTCGTGATTAGAAGTGATAGATGTGGAGAATATGAATCTTCTTTTGCAGAAATATATTTGGAAAATGGAATCATCCATCAAATTACTGCACATTCTCACCTCAATCTAATGAAATTGTTGACAGGAAAAAACCGAACTTTGAAGAAAATGTTGAATGTCTTATTTATAAGTTCAGGTTTACCACAAAATTTGTGGGGGATGCTATCATTATAGCAAAAGAGAACAACAAAAAATTTGTCTGTTCAGAAAGAGAGAAACAAAAAGTTTTGTTTGTTAGTAAAGGGAGTAAAAAAATATTAATGAAAAAATGTTTATTTGTTAAGAAAGGGAGCAATAGAAACTTGTGTTTTTTCAGTCTTTGTTGTATCCTAATAAAGAATTGTTTGTCGTCCCTTAAAGTTTATACAAGCAATAACTCTTGAAAGATAGTGATCAAACAATTTCCAATATAGTCTATTTCATATGAGAAATGGAAATGAGGGAACTATTCCCAAACGGGTCAAAATAGGACCTAAGACTTTGGATTGTATGTTCATTGGATATGCTACAAATAGTAAAGCATGTCGATTTATGGTTCATAACTCCGAACTGTCGAATAGTCAAGTGAAGGGTCTAAACGACCTTGGAAAGAACCAAAGGAGAATGTACTTAATAAAGAGATTCGGAGGCGTAGTAAATGTCAATGGACAAATTACTTCCTACGAGTTTGATTTTGTAACATTTCTTCTTGAAAATGAGTCTCATATATTCTAAAAGTTATGTCCTTTGTGGACTCATTCTCTTTGAGAAAAGTTTGTCAATAGTAAGATAGATTTAATCTTGAGCAACCATACTTGAGAGTTGGTTGATCTTCCTCGAGGAAATAACTTTTGGATTCAAAGTGGATCTACAAAAGGAAAAGACAGTTGATGAAACTATTGACAAATATAAAGACAGACTTGTTGTCATAGGCTTTAGACAATAAGAAAGCCTTGTTTGATAGATAATAGCACTAACTAGGATTACATCAATTCAAATGTTAATTGCGCTAGTTGCGAAATATGGCCTTCAAATATGTCAAAATGGATGTGAAAACATTTTTATTTTAAATGAAAAATTGGAGGAAGAAATTTACATAGAACAACCAAGGGGCTTTGTGGTTCTGGTAAAGAAAAGAAAGTCTGTAAACTTGTTAAGTCACTCTGTGGACTAAAAACAAGCGCCCAAAAATGACATGCGAAGTTTGACCAAACTATGTTGGGAAATGAATTCAAGATTAATGAATGTGATAAATGTTTTTACATTAAAGACACTCCAAATCACAAGGTCATTAATTTTTTTTTATGTTAATGACGTTGTGATCGTCAAAAGAGACATTTCTAACATAAATGCTACTAAGCATATGCTAGAAAGTAACTTCGATATGAAAGACATTGAAATTACTGATATGATTGAAAATGTACTTGACAAGTTCAAGCATTTAGATTTCAATATTGTCAAGATTCCAATAAATGTGAGATTTGTACTTCAAAAGAAAGAAGGCAAAAGTGACTCACAATTGGATTGTGCTAGAGTATTGAGAAGTATGATATATATCATGAAGTGTACGCGATCAGATATAACATATGCTATTAATAAACTAAGTCGGTTCACGAGTAATCTCAATCAAACTCATTGGATGACAATAAAAGAGTTTTGGAGTATTTAAAACATACTTAAAAAAAATTATTGCTTTGCATTATAACTAATATTCAACAGTATTGGAAGAATATAGTGATGCAAATTGAATCACCAGGTCAAATGAAGTAAAATCCACGAGTGGATATGTATTTACTCTTGGTGGAGGAGCAGTCTCTTGGAAATCTTCCAAACAGAGATGTATCACTCGCTCTACTATGAAATCTGAGTTTATCACTCTAGATAAGGCCGGTAAAGAAGTTGAATGACTCCAAAATTTCTTGAAAGATTTTTGGCCCAAACCTTTTAGCTCCAGTATGCATACACAGTGAGAGTTAATTTGCAATAGGTGGGGCATAGAGCATGATGTATAACGGAAAGTCTCGTCATATATGACGTAGACATAATATTGTTAGAGAACTACTCTCTAGTGGAGTTATCTTAATTGACTATGTAAAGTCAAAGGATAATGTGTCGAATCCACTTATAGAAAGCCTAACTAGAGAGGGAGTTGATAGATTATCAAAAGGAATGGAACTATGGCTGAGAACAAGTCATTGTGGCGGTAACTCTACCTAGAAGACTGGAGATCCTAAGATCTAGGTTCAAGGAGATCAAACAAAGTCATTGATGACGGTTCAACATTGTCAAAATATTTTTTATAGTCCATTCTCATGATAAGACAATGTTCAGTAACAAGGATAAAGGCATTAGGACTTTTTAATGATTTCTAAGTTTGATACAGGGTATGTCAAATGGTGTATCTACGGGATAACACATTTAGAAATCACCTATGTAAGTGTGAAGTGTAAGTCGCTTCAAGGAGAATTCGGTAAGGCCAGTTCTTTACGCACTTATAAACCAAGACATGTTCATGGCTGAAACGAACAAAACAATGAGAACCAAAAACAGTTCAAGGGTTGGTTGTGTGACTTATGTTGTCTAGGTATACACCAAAGCTCGACGGTTCAAAGATATCAAATCTACCGATTGACCGAGTATATCCGATATATGTTCACTATGGAAAGTTCAAAGGGAAACCCACTTATCCAGAGGCAATCAATCCTTAGTTACGAATCACACAATTTTTCATGCATATGTTTTAACAATAGTCATTCCCTATTCATGTGGGGGATTGTTAGATTTTAAAGGTGTGAACAGGAAATGAAGGGTTATGACTCTTCTGAAGAGTTGTGACTATGCCGAAGGGTTGTGAACTTTATGAAAGGTTGTGTCCTTTCTAAAGGATTGTGACCGTTTGAAAGGTTATGCCTTTTCCAAAGTGTTGTGACCTTTCTGAAATGTTGTCTTCTTTCCCAAGGGTTGTGACCTTTACCCTTTGTTGGCTATAAATAGAGAGGTTTTCTCTCATTTTTCTGTATCGAATTCTTCCCTTCTTTTGCATACATTTCTAACAAAATAAAATCGATCGATCGTGTCTTTGTGTGTCATTCGTTGCTGTCATTTTGAGTTCGTTGAAATTATCGAAGTTTGAGGTACCGCTACTTCTTTAATGGTTAATCCGTTTTATCTTGGGAGGAATTAATTTGCAACCTCGGATACTTGAGGGGATTGAATTTCTTAAGGACACACAGTGGATTCTGTGGACTCGGATAGTTCTTTGTGTTTTTCTTTTCATCTTTTATTATTTCTAATTTGCTAATTTGAATACAGGAGATAACAGTCACTGAGTGTGCCACGTAAGCCAAAAGGTGTATAAAATTACAAAAAAAATGAGCTTAGGAGGGTAATAGCACCTTAGCTTAGTTACCGTGTGTCTCTAAAATTTCGGTCATTGTTTAGGGGTACTTGTGCTTTATCCCATTATCCTTTTATTCTTTTGGATTATAATGATTTTTTGGATAAATTAACCTAACTTGACATTATAAGAAGAAAAAAAATCAGAAATTGAGTCACGATTTTTTTAATAGTTCAATACAAAATTATGTTAAGAGACGATTTACCAAATAATTTCACATACATTTTAACAAATTTACTCAAAATTATGCTAAAAAGAAGGGAAGCTTGTAGAACTTTAATTTCCATTTTTTTATTGACAAAGATTCACGTGAGTGATAGGTCGATATGCATGAAATTAATTAATCTGAACGGAATCTAATAGAATGTAATTAGTTTTGATAGAAAGTAAACAATAAGTTGCAACAGAACATGTGAACACATAATTACAAAGAAATAGTGTATTTATTATTAGCAATGGATACTAGTAAATATCTTTTTTGTAGACTATTTACTAAACGAAGGCTAAAAATGTTGGATAATCCTTGCAAATGAAATTCTATTTAATTAGGGTAAACTCATTTAATAGTTGGACCCGTATTGATGGAATCCATCTAAAATTACATAAATATCCTTTTTGGCATGCTCCTATAAATTTGGCCCGGTTTAACGTTATTTTACGTACTCAACATACACATTTGAATGAATTATAACAAGTAGTATTATGGGTGTTATGTCAATGAAGGTCGTAGCTTTACTTTCAGTTTTAAAAGTTAGCTCATTATTAGAGGTAACTCATGGAGATCAACTCACTCAATATTCATCTGATCCAACTTTTCATCAAAGTTTCAAGTTTCGCTTTCCGAAACCTGAATCTAAACCTAAGCCGCCACCTCGTTCTCCTAGTCTGCCTCCCAAGAGGCAACCACCACCTCCAATTAAGTCACCACCACCACTATCGCCTATTAAGTCGCCACCACCTCCAGTTAAGTCTCCACCACCAATAGTTAAGTCACCACCACCTTTAGTTAAGGCTCCACCACCATCATCGCCTATTAAGTCACCACCACCTCCAGTTAAGTCTCAACCACCAATAGTTAAGTCACCACCACCTCCAGTTAAGTCTCAACCACCAACAGTTAAGTCACCACCACCTCCAGTTAAGGCTCCACCATCACCATCGCCTGTTAAGTTACCACCACCTCTTGCTAAGTCTCCTCCACCACCATCATCTGTCAAGTCTCCACCACCGCTAGTTAAGTCACCGCCACCTCCAATTAAGGCTCCACCACCGCCATCGCCCCTTAAGTCGCCACCACCTCCCGCTAAATCTCCACCACCACTAATTAAGTCACCACCTCCCACTGAGTCTCCACCACCACCTCCCGCTAAGTATCCACCACCACCATCTCCCGTTAAGTCTCCACAACCGGTTAAGTCGCCACCACCGCCAATTAACTCTCCTCCACCACCATCGCCTGTTAAGTCTCCACCACCTCCAGTTATGTCTCCATCACCACCACCAGATGCTCAACAACCATCTCCTCCGCCGTATTATGGGGAGCCACCTCCGCCGCATGCTGAGCAACCAGCTCTTCCGCCGGATGTTGAGGAACCAACTCCTCCTCCACAAGATGCTGAGGCACCGGCACTACCACCAGATCCATTTCATACGACAGCAACTCCATCACCAGATATGCTGACCAACGAATTTAAATATTGGGAAAATAAATTGGATGTCGATTATTTTCAATCTTAAATTTGAAACTAAACTTGCCATATATAGAGGAGTATTAACTATTGATTGTCGACGCCAATCCTGAGTCAAGATTTATGTTTATTATTAAGTACCCTAACTATTTCTTCCTTTTATAATGATTAATATATATTAGTACTATTCTAGCTTAGTGTTTGTCAAAATGCACAAAAACGAACGTGAAAATGCAATATGTGAATTCATTCACTCGCTATATGTATTTATAACATCGTTACACCATTCCAATGTAATACACGGATCGATCTTGAGTATATATACTAGATTCGTATGGACTCATAGAGACAGATGCATGCATACATCATACTCCTAATTATATAATATACAGAATAATATATACCTTTTTTTTTTTTTTTACATAGGTAGCTAATGCAATTATATTTGGACGACCGGATTAATATGTATTGTTTACAAATTGTGCAGCTTTAAATTGGGCCCTTCTCTTCTATTGGGCCATTTGCATAATTGTATGAATCCAACATATACTATATGCGATAAATTACTAAGGTACATAACATTAGTTTACATATTCACATCAAGAACCAAAATCCACGTTTTCTCATTCCTAAAATCTCGCCCTCAATCTCTCCCCATTATCAAATTAGTTATCAAATTCAAATCAATTTGAATTTCAAACGATTTCTATCTCTATTCAACTGTCTTGAAAGTTCAAAATAGGTAATCTCATCTTCTTCATTTTGCTTTCGTTTTTTTTTTTTTAGTTTTTCATCGTTTTGGCTCTTGCATTATGAATCTAACACCTAACAACTTTCGAATATTTGATTCAGAAGATCTCAACTGGGCAGAATAGAGATCTAAAAGGTTGCATGATCCGGCAATAATGACAGATCAAAGTTTTGAATCAAAGCGTATGATATAGAGAAAATTTTAGAAATAGCAACATAATTCATAATAGACCTAATAAGACGATCACAACTAGAATTCTCGGATTTAATTTTCCGATGAAAGAAACCGTTGGTAATTAATATGGGTATCCGCTCATATTTATCCATTTCAAATGGGTTGGGTATCCAACTCATTTAAAAATGGGTAAAAACGAATAATACTCATATTACCCATTTAAAAACGGATAGTTAAATGGATAAAATGGGTAAAAGATGTACATTCACACAAACAAAAAAAGTAATAAAGGATGGGGAGGTAAGAAATTTTTTTTTTTTTTTAAAAAAAAAATCTATAAAAAAAATGAAACCTTTTTTTACATTTTTTTTTGGGATAGGGGTGGTGGTAGGGGGTAGGGGTGGGTTGGTAAATTTTTTTTTAAAAAAATTAAAATTTTGTTAATTTTTTTGGATGGGTGTGGAAGGGGGGAGGGGCTGGTAGGGGAGTGGGGTGGTAATTTTAAAAAAAAAAAAATTTTAAAAATTTAATGAAAAATTTTTAAATTTTGTTAATTTTTTTGGGATGGGGTGTGGAGGGGGGGGGGGGGGCTAGTAGGGGTGGTAATTTTTTTTTAAAAAAAATTAGAAAAAATTTAATGAAATTTTTTTAAATTTTGTTAAATTTTTTTTGGATGGGGTGTGGAGGGGGGGGTGGTAGGGGGTAGGGGGCTGGTAGAGGGTGGGGTTTTTCTTTTTACATTTTTTTGGGATAGGGGGGTAGGGGGGTGGTAGAGGGTGGAGTGAAGTGATAAAAAAACTTTAAATTTTTTTTATTTTAAAGCTTTTAACAAGATTTCTATTTAAATATGGGTACCCATATTATTCATTGGGCAACTCGTTTTTATCCATTTAAACTGTGAGTCGAGTCAAGTAACTTATCCATTTTTATTTAACTCGTTTTTTGATCGACTCATATTCGACTCGACTCGCTCGTTTGCCATTCCTAATCGGAATTAACGGCCACCGGAATTCTTGATTGGTACTCCATATAATATTTCTTCATTCCCAATTTAAGTATGTTACTCTTTTTTTTCTAAGTTCTTTAAAATTACGAGATTTAGAAATTCTATTTATTTCATAAATTTCATGTCCATTTAAATTAAGGGCCCGTTTGGCTATGCGATATGGTATCATGATATGGTATTATGATATGGAATCATGAGATGAAATTGAAGGTTTGTTTGGACACGCGATATGGAATTTTTGTGTTGTATATTTTCTTATAAACAAAAAAATCTCATAAGTTGTAAAACTATTAAAATAGCCCAATTTTTTATTCAATCTTATCAAATAAATAAAAAATTATAAAATCGCATAATAAATTATTACAAAGTTATTTGTTCTCCACGTAAGTAATCGTTTTATCTAACTTTAATTTAATAAAAAAAAATTGAACATAAATTGTAGTGTACTAGTCTTTAATATAATCCTCCCACATAGTACAAACAATTTCCTCACGTTGAACTTGCATTTCTCGATCATGTGACCGAGAAGACGAACCAACATTGTTACTTTGGGAAAATTGTTGGTCAATATCCTCCGCAACTATATATTCATGTTCATAGACCATAAATATTTCATCACTACTTTAGTATTTTCGCAAATAATTATGTAACACTGCACAAACTATGACAATTTTCACTTGTGTATCAATATCATAATAGTTCATGCCTTGTTTCAGTATTCTAAATCTATTTTTCCAAGCTCCAAAAGTCCGTTCAATAACATTGCGCAGAGATGAATGCCTATAATTAAATAGTTCTTTGGCATTTTGAGGCTCTCTTTCACTTTCTCGATAATCTTGCAAATGATAGCGTAGTCATTTGTATGGAACTAAAAATCCTTTTGTGTTTCGGAAACCAGCATCAACAACATAATATTTATCTACCAAAAAACATTTTATAAAGAATTACTAAAAGCATATGTGACGTAAATGAGACAGTTTTGTGTAAATAAATAATATTTATTCTAAGAATGTAATTTAAAGTTACCATGTGGCGGAAATATGTAACTAAATACTAATAACTTACACATAAAATATAAATGTGCACTTATTAAGGCCATAAAATAAATTTATTAATGTGATTGAAATTTTACCTTAAACCAAGGCCAAAATCGAGTATTATGTCGAATTTTGGAATGTACACTAGTCATATTTTTTGGTTGTATAAATGTTGGTGCTATCTTACTAATTGCCTCGGCAACTATTTTAACATGCCGGTTAATTGTTTCAAGTGAATGTTGAAAAGTTTCACAATCGTGAGGTGTGAGTTAAAGTGACTATATGTTGGTGAGAATAATAAATTTTATGTCGGTGAGAATAATAAATTTTAAAAAGTAATGATGTGATTATAAATTTTATTTACATATGAAACAAAAGGTTATAAGTAGATATAAATGTGGGGTTGTTTTAACAAAATATAAACTAATGGATCAATTATTGTATTAAAATATCTCAAATCATGATATGGAATATATCATCATGTAATTCCGTATCATGGTTTTTGGAGAATATGGTATCACCTCTCATGATATGGAATCATGAGATGAAATCAGCATAAAATCGCATGTCCAAACGCTGATTCCATCTCACGATACCATATCGTGATATGATATCGCATGGCCAAACGCCTACTAAGACACTTAAATTGACACCTCTGGAATAGTTGCTTTTTTTGTTTTTTGATGCTCCTATAAATACATTCCCTTTTACCTTCTTTTAGGCACAATATTTTAGTTGAGTTAACAAGTATGGCTGTAATTCCACTAGTGAAGGCCCTTGTGCTTTTACAACTTTCAATGTTGGTCGTTATTAGCTCATTCTCAGAGCTGAGTCTTGTAGAAGGTATGAGAAGTTTGCCTGATGCAAGTGATTTTTATAAATGGGAGTTTCCTTTCTTTCCCAGTATCCCTTCACCGCTATCTCCTCCACCAACGTTACCAGCTCCTCATACACCACTCGTGGGACAGACACCGCCAGATATGTTGTGAGAAAGGGAGAAAGTAAACAATAATATGAAATTATTGATATGAAAATGATCATTTTCCTTTTACTTTCTCTAGTTTGGTGTGGCAAGGAAAAAAATGTTCACCATTCAGAAAAATAATCGTGTGTGGATATGAATTGTATGTTGTAAATTAAGTCTTTCGAGAGAGTGAATGGTTGTACTAAAATTTGAATCTCTAAATGTCGCTTTGAGTTAAGATTTCACATGTGTAATTAAATACTCCCTCTGTTAATTATGTGTTCAATTTTATTTTTATTAAATCACCAAATATCATGGTTTGAGCTAATACTGAAGTAAGATAGTGTGTTTTATTTTTATTTTAATAAGGAGAAAATGGTTTTAAAATCCCCCAATCTATATCCGAAATTCTAACTACACACTCCAACTTCACGAGTGTCCTATTACCCCCCTGAACTTCATATTTCTCTATTTTCTACACACTTAAATGTTGACTTGTCATAGGAGGTGAGAACACCTCCTCCAGACGCGTTAGAAGGTGAGAACACCTTAAATTTTGACGAAAATTTTCTCTTTCTCCAACGATCATCTTCCCCACTATTAAATAAACCATTGTTTCTTCTTCCCCACCATTAACCCTTGTTCCTTTTATAAAAAAATTCATGATTTTCTCTCAAAAATAAGTAGGGTTTAGTTGTTTATGTTCATTTCTACTTCAAATCTTGAATTTAGGGTTTGTAATCTGCTCTAATTTCTTATTTAGGTCTCTAATTTGAATTTTTAATTTTCTCAAAATTCATCAAAAATGACAAATGAAAACTTGAATAAGCTTTGTATGGATGAATCAGATCCAATGTTGCTCTTAATTTCACAAATCAACAGAAATGCATATGCAAATGGAGAAGGAGTTGAAAAAGAGAAAGGATATTTTTTTGGGGTCTTTTACGTTTTAGGAGGGAAATGGGGAAAAATAGGAATTTGTAGTTGAAGAAGTGGGAGACTTGGCGCATGCAATCACGTTGGAATATTTGTTTGGTTTATGTGTTGTGGTCAGCGTTTAAGTGTTTAGAAAATAGAGAAATATGAAGTTTGGGGGATAATAGGACATCCGTGAAATTGAAGTGTGTAGTTGAAATTTCGGATATAAATTTAAGGATTTTAGACCATTTTCTCTTTAATAAGCAAATTGCATAGTAGGCCATACATTTTTTTTTCTGCTGCTTATTGTAAATCGTGCACATAAATCTTCTAAGATCAAAAATAAATTATAATATGGTGATCTTAAATGGACCTTGCATCACTGCGTCATTCTAATTTAATCGGAACTTCAATACCAATTGTACTTGACACGAATGGGAAACTAAAAAAAAAAAAAACTTTTCATGGTTATTCTTGATTATTCGAGGGTTCTAAGCTTGGTCTAATTTATTCCTCTTTATGTGGAGCATTGGACTCTTCAACTAATTCGGAGATGCTTGAGTTGTACGACGTTGTTGGATGTTGTATTCTGAAGAGGACAAGTCAGGAGCAGGGACGGAGCTACAGTGTCTTGAGGGTGTCCAATTGGACACCCTTCGTCGGAAAATTATATCGTACACCTAAGTAAAATCCTGTTCAAAATGGTTAAATTTAATACTTTGGACACCCTTGTCATAATAAGCTATTGTGGCTCAGCGGTTGGAGGCTCCCTTGTTGAGCCTTGACGCGCATGTTCGAATCCCTACAACAACTTATCTTTTATAGTAATTTTTTAAAGAGCTCATATTTCCTTATTCCTTTAATTATTTAATATAATAGTTAGTAAATTTCTTATAAATCTATAATTTTAAAATCTAATAAAGCTTATTGAATTTTCAATGAAGTTGATTTTTTATTTCTTTTCATTAAAGTTTGAAATAAAATTCTAATATTTGTACAACGCTATTAAAAGCAAACAAAAGAAGACCTCATTTGTTTCTATTTCAATTTTTCGTGTCTCGATATTTTTGTCGTCACTAGAGATTAGTGTAAGTTTAAAACTTAAAAATGATTAAGCTACATATCATGCGATTTGATTTTTAAAATTTTAGAACATTTATTCATAAAAAAATATTAATAGTACATAGTTCGATTTTGAATTTTTTAGTGCGTCCATTTATCAAAAAAAAAATTCTTATATAATTCTTGAACACCCTTCGTGAAATTTCTAGCTACGCCACTGGTCAGGAGATATACTGTTGATCGGTGCATATTATGTCGCAGTAGGCTTGAATCTCCTTAAAAAGAGCGAGATATACGCGCCTCAGTCTAAAGATTTGTTTATTCATTTTTGTTATTTTATTCTCAACTGTAATTTTATAGAGTATATTTATAATACATTAAACCAACGGATGGCATAAAATTCATCAATTGTTAGGATTTGAACTTAGAAGTTTAAGGTGAATTATGAATAACCTAAATCATTAAGTCAATCCCTAATAATCTTATATTCAAGAAATTCAAATCTCTACGAACAATAAAATGAAAATAAATATATTACATTGTAATTTTTTGTGGAGAGTGTAGAGATGAACATCATTGTCCCCCTGAATCCGCCCTGCATAACAGTATTAAAAGTAGGGTGTCTTTCGTTAATTTCAACAACATTTAATTATAGAATTTTTGTTCTCTTTGTATTTTGTTGTGTAGAATGATATAATTTTCTCTTGGTTATACGGGGAAAAACACATCAATTTTAAATTCTTGTGAAATGTGAAAGAAATAGTAACGAGCTAGAGCACTTACAGGTGGCGTTAATTAAAATTACTGAGAAATTAATAAGTAATTTAGTATGTCTGTTTAAAGAAAAAGCAAAAGGAGAAACGAAAAACAATCCCATGTCTAATGTTCCATCATTTTAATTTTCTGCCAACTGATAAACTCGACATTGCTTATGCATACTCATGGCCATGTCCAATGGTCATATTTCTATTACGGGGATATATATACTGTTAAAAGTAAATATCAAAGTGTAATACTAAAGTAATAAACATAAGTGCATAATAAATTTTGTGATGATTATACAATATTTAGTTTTTTGTTTTTTTTTCATGCTTGTTAATTAATAGAGATTTGTTATTTCATTAGGATTGATAAGGTAAAGTGTAACCTTTCTTGCTTAGACTTATCCATGTTGAAAATCTTATTTTATTATTAATAAAAGCCCACTAGATGCTATGTCTAGTGTTTAAATTTGTTTTTTTTTTTCAAAAAATAAACTCTCTTGAAGATTTTGTAAGGAAATGCGTGAGTTAGAAGAACCAAATAGTACAAAGTAAGAAGATATGGTGTTCATTAAAAATAGTATTATTGACAAGTCAATAATGCGATTAAGAAAGTAAATTAAGTTGGTGAATATTCAATTTAATTTGGTAGAATAAATAAATACTAGTATTGTCACTCTGTTTACTTGCGAGAGAGTGAAACTGTGACTTCTTTTTTTTATATATTTGTGATGAAAAATCAAACGTCATAAAAAATGGATTTGTACCAAAATCATAAGATTGCCAAAATTCATCATAATTTGACAAATTTAATTAGAAAACCATCACAAATTAGTTATAGATAATATTTCATATCACAAATCTATGTGTTTCATAGTATTCTATCGGTCTCAATCATATTACTCTTTTTTTTTATTAGCTCTAAATAAGAATTTATTTTTATTTCTATATTTAATAACAATTTAATTTTAAAATATTTCGTTTATCTTTAATGAATAATTTATATCGTACAAATATTTATAACTTATTTTAGATTATATCTTTCAAAGTTCTTTCTTTCTTAAAAGCGTTTGACCATGATTTTTTTTAAATTTTGAATCAGAGTTGGACTCCAAAAAAACATGTTGGCCACAAAATATTGGAATTAACTTTAAGTTGAACTCCAAAATTTTCAAGAATTCAAAAAATAATCAAAAGAATCTTTTGACCTTTTCACTCTAAATTACTCACAAAAAATTTAAAACAACTTTAATATGTATTTATGATTAATCATAACTCCAAGTTTCACCTATCATTTTTCACTTTTAAAACAAATTATTTTCAAATGTTATAATGAAACATGATGAAAGCCGGCAAAACTTTTTGTCAAATCGATACACTTTTTCGTCCAATTTGAATTCTACTACTAAAATTTTATGACCAAACTCCCGAAAAAAGTGAAAAGAAAATTATTGCCGAACGCCCTAGTTTAATTTTGTACTCCATATGGTTTCAAAAATTTCTTTTATCTTCTTAATGCTTTATCATCAGTAAAATAAAGTTGAGAATCTTCTCTCTCCTAGCTTTGTATAAATTCACTCACAATTTGACTTGCTTCAATAGAAGTGATCTGATTAACAATTATGGTTGTTGTATCAGGGAAGTCCCTACTAATACAACTACTTTTAGTTGTACTATTTGCCTCATTGTCAAAGCTCAGCCATGGAAAAGGCAGTGATCCAGTCCTCTCAACCAGTGGTCGTCCATTTTTTGACATAGAAATCCCTGAATTAGTACCTGGTATTCCTAATGAGTTTTTTCTTAATATGCCTTTCATCAGCGCAAGTCCGTCACCACCACCACCACCACCGTCACTGCCACCACCTCCACCATCACCACCTCCGCCATCATCACCACCACCACCTCGACAGTCACCACCTCCACCTAAACAGTCACCACCACCGCCGTCAACAGACTCATTTTTTATTCCTCCTTTTGTCATCCCCCCTATTGATATTCCTCCTCTAATTCCTCCTCTATTACCCGTCATCCCATCTATTATTAACCCAACGCCATCGTCACAATTATCACCACCACTTCTTAAGTCACCCCCTTCACCTTCCCAATGTAAGCCATCACCACCTGATAAAATTCTAAAGCTAACACCACCTCCACCAGCAAAGCAACCACCAGTTAAGGCACCACCACCAGCAAAACAACCACCACCACCACCTACTCAGGCACCATCTCCATCACCAGCAAGACAACCAACTCCACCACCAGTTAAGGCACCATCTCCATCACCAGCAAGACAGCCAACTCCACCACCGCCACCACCTTCTAAGAAATCGCCTCCACCGGCTCCTCCTCCATCAATAGCTAATCCACCGGTTATGGCACCATCTCCATCACCAGCTCCTCATCCACCTGTAATAATAGCCCCATTTCCATCGTCACCAGATGCGAAACCACCCGTTATTCCACGTCGACCAGTTAAGCCGATTCTACCTCCATCTCTTCCCGCCGTCAAAACTCTAACGGTGAATGGGGTTGTTTACTGTAAACCCTGCAACAGCTATGGAGCTCCCAATCTCCTCAACGCTACCCCACTCCAAGGTAATTACTTAATTAACACACTTCTTTCTCCATAATTGCCACATATATACCTTAATATTTGAAAACTTGTATTCATCGTTTAATATCTTTTGAAATTTACTAAATTTTCATCCTTACGCTAATTAATACTGCAGGAGCTTCTGCGAGACTAGTTTGCTACAACGGGAAGAATGCAATTGTCCAATCAGCCATAACAGACAAGAATGGTGAGTTTCGGCTCACGCCCAAATCATTAATCGGAGCAGATATCGGCAAGTGCAAGGTATATTTAGTGAAATCACCAAATCCCACCTGTAATGTCCCAACAAACTTCAATGGCGGAAAAACAGGTGCTCTATTGCAACATGTCGTACCCCCTAAGCCACCGATTGTTACCCCTGCAGTGATTGTCCCCGTACAACCACCCATGTCTGATTTATATGGAGTTGGACCTTTTATTTTTGAAGCATCAAGCAAAGTACCATGCGCTATGCATAGAAAATTATAAGAGCATTGTTCAGTCATGGAAAACAAAGGCAGGTAGCATTATTGAACAAGTAAAAATACACTAATTCCTCTATCAGTCCCATTTTATGCGATGCGGTTACTATTCAGAGAGATATAAAAAAAAATGTTTAAGGGCATTGAGCTATGAAAAATATTTTTTTTTCTTTTGTTTTCTATACACAGTTAAGAAAAAAAAACTTTATATACAGTCATACAGATATAAAATAATCAAATGAGTCATATAAACCCTGAGGGGTAGCTCAGCTGGTAAAGGCCTGGGACAAAGTCCTTCAGGTCGCCGGTTCGAGCCCCAGCAGGGCCACTGGAGGCATTACAAACCGGCCGTGTCTCCAGGGCCCCGTGGAACTAACCGTGGTGGACCCGCCTTGAAACAGCGGGACCCGGTGGGTATAGCTAGTCGGGTTCGCAAAGCGACGCCCGGAAACCACGGTAAAAAAAATAAATAAAAAATGAGTCATATATACAAGTCAAAATTATATATGAAAAGTTGAAGTGTTTGATGTTGTCAGAGGAGAAATTGTTTTAACATGAAATCTATATGTTCAAATATCTCCGACACATTTACGATATAGTCCATATTTGGGGAGATGATAAAGTATTATTAAGTCAATTTGGACAATTGATAATCTCAATTAGAGGTGGTAAAATTAACTCATAAAAACATAATTCTATCAATTATTTATACTCGTGATAGAACAAATAAAACAATCAAAATTCAATAAAAATTGGGCGAGTTAGCATAGTAACTTTACGAAGGATCAATAACTCGCTTATTTATTAACTTGCAACACATTTTGAATCCTTCAAATTTAAATCCGTCCATTTGCCACCTTTGTTCTCAGTCGACAATCAATACCAAAAATTCTTGACATGGGATTAATTCAAAACTTTATAGTAGATTTTAAATTTTGAAACATATAAACTAAAATACAAAAAATTTCTTACCTTGCATTATAAGGAGAGCTGGAAAAAAAAGACAGATGCACTAAGCTTTTACTATGTGCGAGATTCAAAAATAGAGTCAGATTACATACAAAGATTTATTGACAGTTTTACCCTGCATTTGCATTTCTGCAAGAATGAATGTATACAATGGAGTAAAATTTCTAATGACATAATTGATCCGCAACGAATTGCATGTGAGCATCTATTTTCATACTAGATAACTTTGTATTACAACATTATTTGCTACGAGAAAAGAAAAAAAAAACTAAAGGAATTTATCAGATTCAAAATTTGAAATTTATGATTTAGGGATATCATTAATCTAATTGAATTTGAAATTTTATATTTATAGGTAGTCAATAATATTTTTATCACATATATAAAATTTAAATAACTTACCATATATTTCTAAATGTGTATATACTCATGAGATTCTTTTGTATTCATTGACGTATGCCTACAAAAATTAATTGTAATTCATGTTTTATAAGAAGAGAAGAATATTAATATGTCCCTCACAATATTCTTAGTCCTTCTACTCACATTGTTCTTTTAAATTTGATTTCAAGCATCCAGAGTCATACAAATTACACATTGTATCAGAGAAAATCAAAATCAAAACCAAAACCAAAACGAAAAGATTATTCTCTCGTATTAATGACCTATTGAACATTAATTACTGTGTAATTTAAAGAACCAGCAAAATGAGAAAAGAAAAACAATGTCATGTCAAATGTTTGGTCATTTGTAAGCCAACTAAAATACTCTCATCACATGGCTTATTCCGCCAGTGAAAGATAACGTCCATGCCCCCATGTTTGATCAATTTTTTGCTATGGTGATTGAGTTCTTTCTGTAAAAGTGCAGGTCCTAGAATGTTAGAGAGTATAAATTAAAGGATATAACAAAATTAATTAATTACCAGAATTCAAATAATTAATAGATGCAAATGTAAAGCTAAAGAAAACAATTATGCACATGTTAAGGTAAGTGCAAAATGCAAGTAACTCGATAATTAATTATTTACTTGTTGAATCTTGTGTTGTCATCAAACTGAATCCGGTTGAATAAAACGTTAACTTTTTATAATCTGAAATATATTGCATGAGAAGTGTTAACAACGTATAAATCTCCTGCTAAGAAATATTTGTCCTTCTCACTCCTTCCCCATTAAAACAAACTTTAGAGGAGACTAATTATAACATTAGGTTTACACTACTAATTTTAAGAAAGCAATATCACCATATATGTATAATTTAACCTTGTAGCATGTGGACATTGATGATGTAAGATACATTATTACCAATAAAGCTTAACCAAGAGGTCTCAAGTTTGAGTCATTTTGATACGAAGTCGCCTTTGTTAAGGAGCTTAACACACGTATATGAATATGTGTATCACCTTTTCATTTATTTTCTTTATTATTGTGACAAAATTCGTACATATATGGCTTATGAAGCTCCTATAAATTCATTCTCACCTTACTTCATTTTACATGAGTTGATTTGAGGTAACAAATTAAGTATGGCTTTTACGTCAGTAAAGGCCATAGTGCTCATACAAGTATTAGCATTAGTAGTTGCCTCTTTCTCAGAGCTCAGCTTTGGTGAAGTCACTGAAAATTCGTCATTAGACAATCATGAGGAAAATGAAATCATCTCAACCAAAGGGTTCGGGTTTGGGTTTGGACGCCTTCCTAAGAGAAGTCCCTCTACCCCTACACCTGTTAAACGGCCATCACCTTCACCATCACCACCAGCTAAGTCACCACCACCACCTTCACCTTCACCACCACCACCAACTCAATCACCACCGCCACCAACACCCTCACCGCCACCACCCTCACCATCACCACCACCACCAGTTCAATCACCTCCACCGCCATCACCACCACTAGCTCAATCACCTCCACCGCCACCAACAATACCACCATCAGCACCTCCACCACCAGCTCAATCACAAAAACAAACACCTCCACCGCCACCAACAATACCACCACCAGCATCTCCAACACCAGCTCAATCACAAAAACAAACACCTCCACCGTCACCAATTGCTCCGCCACCAGCAATCCAACGTGCACCACCACCTTCTCAGCCACCAAAACTCCCACCACCACAATCACCACCAGCTACTCAGCCACCAATAAGCAGACCGCCGAAGCCATCACCACCTACTCAGCCACCAATAAACAGACCGCCGCAGCCATCACCACCTACTCAACTTCCAATAAGGAGACCACCACCAGTTACTCAGCTACCAATAAGGAGAACACCACCGCCATCACCACCAACTAATAAACCACCTAACAGGTCATCACCACCACCACCAACTGATTATGATGAGCCGCCAAACATCGAGCCACCCGTTGATCAGGAGCCACCACCCGTTTCTCATGAGCCTCCATTTGTTGAGCCACCACCAACTAATCAACCACCTATTAAACCATTTCCACCAACTCTAAGTCCCCCATTTATTCCACGAATCACACCACCGGTTAAGCTTCCACCGCCGACAATTCATCCCGCCGGAAAGCCTCTAATCGTCGTCGGCCGTGTTAATTGCAAATCTTGCAGTAGCAGAGGGCTTCCTTCTCTCTTTAAAGTCTCCCCACTCCACGGTTATTTCACTACCCTTTTTTCTCTTCATTACTATATTCTCATTCTATTTGCATTTTCTCAAACACAAACACAAATGCGACGTGTAAAAAGGTACTAAAACAGTGCCACATACAATAGAACGGGTTGTTGATCCACCAATTCATTACCTCAATTCAATTTAACATAACCCATTTCAATTCGTTTAAAATTGTATTGATATGTAATTTAATTTGGCTAATGAGAAATCTTATCAGAATATTTTTAAAAGACTTTTTTTCAATTTGATATGTTATATATAGTCATCATAAAGAAAAAAAATAATTTTCTTAGATACTAAAATAGTTTAAAAGAACAATAAAATAATTAAGCTTGGTAAAAATTGAATTGACATATTATATAATCCATTATCTAATCCGTTTTGATCCAAACAAATTTAGGTTAGATTGGATCTTGACCCGATTATTGTCTTAACCTAACCCATCCAAATTTGACTCAATCTGCCCAATTGCCCCCTACCTAAGCTTGTCAAACTTAAATAATTTTGGATTGAGAATTGGACCAGGATTCTTAATTTATGTGATTCGAATTACAATCATTTTTAAACTGATTAGCTCCTCCCCTGGTTGGACTGCTCCGAAAATTGTATGTATATGTACCGAGAAAGACCAGTTTGAATTGGCTTAAAAAAAATAGTTTTTAAGTCAAAAAATAAAAAGCAAAAAAAAATTTATTTTAAGTTATTTTTAACCTTGTCAAATACTTCATTACCTATTTGTCGAACGATTCACAAATCAAAAACTGACTTAAAAATATCTTAGTATCTTCATTGTCTTTTGCAATTATTATGATTCATGAGCTTATTACATTTAAAATTAACAATGGTTGTGTGGTTTATATACACTACAGGAGCTTCAGTGAAGCTAGTGTGTCACAATAATGGAAGGAAGGCAAATGTTCAAACAGCATTGACAGACAAGAATGGTGATTTCTCTATCACACCCATATCTTTAGCCAAAGCAGATGTACACAAATGCAGAGTATACTTACTGAAATCACCCAAACCAATTTGCAATGTGGCAACAGATTACAATAATGGAAAATCTGGTGCTGTATTGAAACCTATCCTGCCACCTGGCAATCATGCCCCAATGTTTGATTTCTTTGGTGTTGGGCCTTTTATATTCGAAGCGCCAAACAAATTCCCATGCAGAAAGTAAAAATGGAGCTCTTCAATATTAATGGAGTACTTAGCTAGGAAAATAAAAGTATGAAAGGATTTGAGTTTCTGACAAAAATTGTAACAATTTGATATTGACTTCTAATGGATGAATGATAACGAAGTTATGAAAATTAAAAGTTTTTGATATTGCCTTCTGTTGACTTTCATACTACGAATTTTGTTTCCCTCTGTCTTGCGACTTTACACTGGAAACCTGAAAAAAAAATCATATTGTGCTTTGATCGAAAAAATTGTACTATTTTTTCTGATTTAACTTGATAAAACGAAGTAAATTAATGACCATGTTATATTAAATATGTAGAATATATCATATTGTCTTTAGAATCTTGTAGTTCTAATTCCTAAATATGACTTATCATTCCTAGCTATATGAAAATTGTTACGACTAAAATGAGAATACTATAATAAATGAGTTGCTAAATATAAAAATGTCTCAATCCTTTCTTAAATGAATAGGAAAAAAGTATCATATAATTTTTTTATTTATTTTTTAAAGTAAAAATGTACTAATGAGGGTACTAAAGTTTAGGATTAAAATTTAATCGAACTCGATATTTATATCAAACTAATGAATGCGGGATCATATACGTCTTATATACACATATTTATCACTTATTTATAATTAAATAATTATTAATTTCTTTCTAATATTTAACAACTAATGTTAAATTATTTGATTTGATATAAATAATAAGTGAAGGAAAAATTTGCATGTAAGTGTAGTGTAGTGTGTACTACCATATACTATTGAAAAAAAAGATATTACTGAGTGACAATGAGGGAGCTCATGGGCCGGGGTCAGTACTGCTACTTCTGTTAACTGGATATCAAGGCCTGTGCTGACCCAGAAAATGGATCAGCAGGCCCATATAAGCCTGTTAAACAAAGCCCATATACTACTTACTACTTGGATTTGTTATGTGACCCAAGTGTAACATAATACTATAATAATGAGGTGAAAATCTAAACTCTAATAATATTGGAAAAATTACTTAAATACACAACACTTCTTTACCTATTCTCAATATTTCCCTACTCTTTTATTAAAATACAAAAATCTCTTATTTTCCCCCAATTCAACTTAACTGGATACTTTATTAGTTTAAGTATCCATCTGTTATTAATTAAAGTATTTGCGCTGCTATATTATGCATCCGCCCGTTAATTAAGTATTTGTGCTGCTAACAACTTAATAATTTAAGTATCCGCCCGTTATTAATTAAAGTATCTGCGCTGCTATATTATGCATCCGCCCGTTAATTAAGTATCCGTGCTGCTAACAACTTAATAATTTAAGTATCCGCCCGTTATTAATTAAAGTATCCGCGCTGCTATATTAAGTATCCACACTGCTATATTATGTATCCGAAAAACACTAAAAAAAGGGATTTTTGGTAATTAATGAAAGAGTAGGGAAAGGAAGTAATTTCTTTCTTATACTATGTCATTTGCCTAATTTTTACAATAATATTTAGATGAGGCCTCAAGCACAATAAACTGAGAAAAAATGTCTCTTCTTTTTATTTTTATTTCCTTTTTGCTGAAAGCACGAGAAAATTTGTGAAATCTACATTTATCTATTGCTTTCAATTAATCAAAGTGATACATGTATACCTACTCTCATATTTTGTTGATACACATCATTAGTTGTATGTGGTAGTAATATTATTAGAACTAGAGTGTTTTCAATTTTGAAGTTAAAAATATGTTTTAGTGTTATCGTGTTTGCTGTTTTTTCCTTCTTGATCAAAAGATGAAATGTCGTCACGTGATGTACCAAAGATGGAAAAGGGAAAATAATGATCCCTTGTCCAATGTTTAGTACCAATGGGTAATTTGGTTTTGATTTCCAATCAATGTATCTTTCAATAATTGGAGGGTCAAAGTAATATATTCGTTGGACTCGTTTGATAATCTTCAGATTATAATTTGGGATAATAATTTCTGGACAAATTTATTTCACCTGAAAGGTGGATTTATTAAAAAGATTCAAAATAAAATTATGTCCAAATACAACTTAAATTCCAAAAAATATAATTTCAAAGACCCAATTTTTCAAATTTCAAATTTTAACTTTAAAATGTTTAACATAAGAGCTAAGTGTCCGATGTTGATCATTTGAGGATTCAATTAATTAGGATGCAACTTTATGTTAGTTAAAATATTTTCTTATTTAACAAATTCATATTTAAAACTCGAATCGCACATATAATTAAACAGGAATTAGGATTACTAATCCTATACTTAATTAAACCTTACCCAACTTATGAACATTTAAAATGTAAAAGAGAGTTTCCTCGAGAAGTAAACCAGAAATTGAAGAGGCAGCCAGCCTTATTCGGCAAGCTGCTGCTCCAATTTAGCCGTTACTCCTGGAATTCTGTCCTGTATACCAACTCCATCCCCAGTTTTCTATATCAAGACAAAAAGGTATATTATTACTCCAATTCAAAATTAATTATATTTTAACTTCATTAAAAAATTATCAATTATTTTCAGATTATGTTATGTTTTAATTAAAAGAATTTAAACATAATTAGCTGGAATGGGAAAAGCCAATTTGAATGTAGTGATCTGAATATGTCTCCTTTTATAACCATTTACAGGACTAAGATGTTACATTACATATGGAAAATTGTACTAAAGGCATGGTTAGATGTGCAAAATTAGCATGCCCCATCCTGTCCTCTGCATGTGAAGCATTTAGCCACCTGTACAATATCTTCATTATGAATTTTACCCCTTTTATTTGTCCTACTGGCCCATTAAACAGGATCAGATGGACCCCTTAATTCATGATTCCTGATCCTTTTTATTAATCTTTTCATTGTTCATAATAATGTTTCCTTTACTCTATTTTTAAATTTTGTAAATTTTAAATGTCACGTGAATAATTAAAATTAAAGAATTATAAAGATAATAAAAAATTCAAATTAATTGAAACCTAGAGTATTGTTTCAACCCCTTATAAATTCATCCATTTTCCCCTTACACACACCTACTCAGAGTTCAATTCACGGACACCATTTGTCAAAAAAAATGGATTTTGTTCCAACAAAGTCCGTTGGGTTTATTCTTGCTTTTTTACTTATTACTTCCTTCACTGTTCTTGGCCAAAATGATGCTGGCATTGTGGCTTCAGAATTAGCTCCTCATTCTTCTGTTAGCTCCCCACCTGTTGAAGCCCCTAAGCCTCATAAAGGTGGCCACCACCACCACCATAAACACCACTCCCAACCCCCTGCTTCTCCTCCCTCCCACTCATCTCCACCACCAGTCAAACCACCAACTCCACCACCACATTCTCCAAGTAAACCATCATCTCCACCAGTCAAACCACCAGCACATTCACCTAGCAAATCACCTTCTCCGCCAGTCAAACCACCAACACCACCTGCACATTCTCCTAGTAAACCACCAGCTCATCCACCGGTTAAACCGCCGTCTCCTCTTCCGGCCAGAAAGTTTGTAGGTGTGAGAGGAGTTGTTTACTGCAAAGCTTGCAAGTATAGAGGGGTTGACACCCTCTTGGGAGCTTCTCCTATCCAAGGTCACATCTTTTTACAAATGTTTATTACTCCAAAAATACTTGTCTTAGTTTGATATTGTGATCTTAAACATTTTAATTACTTGAAATATTTCAAAACATACCATAATGTATTATGGTGTAACTTTTTTTTTGTTTTTTGACTATGTTAATTTGTGTTACAGGAGCGGTAGTGAAGCTAGCATGTAACAACACAAAGTACCATTTAACAAGTCTAGGCACAACAGACAAGAATGGGTTCTTCTTTATTCAACCAAAATGGTTGACAACAGCAGGCTACCACAAGTGCAAGGTGTTCTTAGCAAAATCACCAAAAGCAGAATGCAGTGTTCCAACAAATTTCCACAATGGGCAAAGTGGAGCCATGTTGATCCCTGCACCCCCATCTCCTATGACATTATCAAAGCCAGCAGAGCCTGACGTAAAGCTCTTTAATGTGGGACCTTTTGCTTTTGAACCTTCAAAAAATTTGCCCTGCAAAACTATTGTGAGATACTGAGTGGTCATTGTGAGACTATTGTACTACATGGTTGGGAAGTGAGAAAAGTAAGAAGCTAGCTAGCTAGTAGTACTAGATTATTGGGAACTGAGAAGTGTGTTTGAGACTTTTAATTCTTGTTTTTGTGAATTTTAATGATGATTTAGTTGTTTGTACTAGGGTGCTTCCTTTGATTATGGCTTGGTTGGTTTAGGAGTAAGTATTTAAGGCCCATTTTGTTAAAATTAAGTTTTCCTCTGTAATTGGTCAAAAAAGAAACTGACATACATTAGCATTCCCAGAAACATGTCGCAAAATGTTGATACAAAATAATCAAAAAGAAAACGAAAGAAAAAATGAAGTGAAAAGTAATCTTGGCTGTAGCCTTTTAGATGACCAACATCTCAGATTGAACATATACTTTTTTTAAATTCTTGGACAAAGTTCCATGATGCATCCCTTACCATAGTCGATAAAGTGATGCAATAGTTTTATTATAGAATGACTATTTTTAATGATAAGCTAATTTCTAATTGAATTAATTGCAACTGGGAGCTTCGAAAGTTTCATCGGTTTTGCTCTAAATAATAAAACGTTCGTTGAAAATTCTTTATAATTTCTTTATGAAATAATTTTAAAATAATCAAAACCGAAATAACTTCATATCATCCAACCAAAATGGGGTTCGATCAACGATTAATGACCAAAAACACCGGTCAAATTTGTCTTTGATAAAATACAAATTAGTAGTGTGAGCAAATGGAAAATATTTGGCTAGTTTGAAACGTTTGAGCAAATGGAAAATATTAAAAATAATACTTAGTAATATGTTTAGGATGGAAGAAAACGTTTTCTCTGCCAGAACAATTTTTTTAATTATGGTGAAATTGAATTATATATATATATAAGTTTCATAAATAATATTTCGTTCTTCCTTATTCTCCAAAAAACACACCTGCCCCAACCCCCTATCCACCAAACCCCATACTCCTACCTCTATTTTCATTTGGCTTCTATATCTACTGATATTTCGATTAAATTAGTGAAGAAAAAATTAGTAGGGTTTACATATGTAAAAAATAGGAAGCTTTACATTATTTTAGAGTCAATTCCTT